AAAACGGGCTTTGTAAAACGCCACGAGAGATGAGGCAGGGCTGCAGGCTGCCGAATCAGCGGTGAGTGGTGAAGCATCGCGTACGGTGGGGAGGGTCTGGGGGGAGGCAGTGGGTATCCCAAGCCCGGCGGGCTGCCGCAGGGACGGCAGGGGTGAGACGGCTCTCCCTGCCCGCTCCTGCCTTCCCTACGACAGCGTCGGGGGGTGGAGAGGAGGGAGGAGGTGGGGGTGGGGGGGTGGAGAGGAGGGAGGAGGTGGGGAGGGCGGCCGGGAGCCCCAAGGCACGGAGTAACAATCCTCCAACTTTAATATCTGCTGTTTCATTTTATATTCATCATGTCAGCGTAATCTGCTTTTATGGGAATCGTCTTGGTTCCCAACCAAATGCGTTTAGGCCCTTTTTGCTTTTAAGTTTGATTGTAATGCGAGTTGAAGACTCCAGTGAAATGTTTATGTGTGAGGGCTGTGGCAACAGGGAAGGGAAAAATGGAATGAGAGAATCAGCGGGAAGGGACCTTGCTGCGGTCGCTGCTGTCCCTGCCTTGTCCCAGGGAGGGGACCTTCTGATGGGCACCAGCCCACGTCAGGGACTGAGCCCTGGGAAAGGTTTTGTTTGGATTGCTTGTTTGATTTCCAAGGACAATGTGGGAATTGTAGTTTTATTGGCCCCAGAGTGTGAGGAAAGGCAGAAGATGCCCTTTTCTGAAGTTGAGTCCATGGTTTGGTGATGCCGGAGGCTGGTGGGGCTGCGGGGGGGAGCAGTGGTGCTTTGGGCTCAGCTGAGCTGTGTGATGGGAGATGAGGGGCGGGTGTGGAGAGTTGGGGGTGAGTGGCCAGGTGAGGCTGGAGAGGAGATATCTCTGCCCCCGTCGCCGGGGGAAATGGGCTCCTCAGGTCCTCTGCTCTGGGATGGAGTGTGGTGGTCTGTGGGCTTTGGAAGGGGGAAGAAGGGGTCTGGTGAAGGAGGATCCTCGTCGTCCCTTCTCTGCTATTCTCTGTTGGATGCAGTGAGCAGGTAGGAAGATGGCGTGGCAGATGTTTTGCGGTCTGTTTGGCTCTTTTACTCGGTGTTTTACCCGTGAAGCTGTGTTTGAACCCTGGCAGAGAGCTCCCTGTCTGCTAGACAAATAGCTGCAGACTGCAAGCGCTTCTCCACCGCTGCCCATTTAAAACCTGAACTGTCTCTCATTCTATTTTGTTAAGGAATGCCCTTAATTTGTTCCAAAAGCATTTGAAAGCTCTGATAACAGGCAATCTCGCCGCAGACTATTGCATCCTTTCTGATGGACGGGCTATCGCTGCTGTAACTACCGTGTAGATAGTGGAGTGACAATGCGTGTCCAGTGAAACACAGGCGGTGTAATATTCATGTCAAGTATATGAGGCCAAGAAACTTCCTCGCGTTGGGATATTGAAGGGTTCAGCAGCTAACAGGGCTTGAAAAGGCGTTTTTTTTTTTTTATATTTTATTTTTGTGAGCAGCGAATCTGATTGAAGGCTCACGACGTCCTGGCAATGCGGGGAGCGGTAATGGGCAGGTTTCCCGCAACACGGGCTGCAGGGGTGAAAAGCATACAGGTATTTATAAATGTATGGTAAATGGTACCCAGGCTTGGCAAGTCAATTGCCTTGCTGCTGGGTTTGCTTAAAATTGTGAAATGAATGTTAAATTGAAGTTTCTACTTTTGGAAGAGACCTTTTGAAAATGAAACAGGCTTATCTTCAGTCTAGGCTAAAATCCAAAAAATTGCCTATATCTCAGAACTCCTCAGAAATGTTCTCTGTGATCCTTTTAAACATCCCATGCAAAAAATGTGTGTGCAAGGGAAAAAAATGTGGAGAAAGATTGACCCCGGAGGGTTCGTTGTTTTTTTTTTTTTTTTTCCCTTTTTCCTCTGCTTCCCTAATGTGATGCAGCCGGTGGGAGCCGTGGCGGTGGGGTCCTGGTGGCACCTGCAGCAGGTCCGGGCGGTGGGCTGGGGGATAGAACCTCCTTCCCCAGGCACTTTTGGAAAGGTCTGTGCGGGGGGTGCGTGTGTGGTGAGTGCGTAATACTGTAAATCACACAATCACAGTCTGGTGGGGGCTGGAAGGGCCCTCTGGAGCTCCCCCATCCCACCCCCCGCCAGAGCAGGGGCACCTCCAGCAGTGGCACAGGACGGCGTCCAGGCGGGTTTGGGATGGCTCCAGAGGGGGAGACTCCCCCACCTCTCTGGGCAGCCTGTGCCACTGCTCTGCCGCCCTCACAGCAGAGAAGGCCCTCCTCAGGTGGAGATGGAACTGCCGATGGTCACGTTTGTGCCCGTTCCCTCTTGTCCTGTCACTGGGCACCACTGGAAACAGACTGTTCCCATCCCCCCGGCACCCTCCCTTGAAGGATTTATCAGCGTTGATAAGATCTCCCCTCAGTCTTCTCTTCTCCAGACTGAACAGCCCCACGTCCCTCAGCCTTTAAATCATCCTCTCTTATGGGTGACTGTCGCTCGGAACAGAATTAAGATGGCTTTGCATAACCAGTCCTGTCTCTTGGTGCTTCTGTGCTGTCCCATGGCCCGTTTGTCTCTGTAGAAGAGCTTGTGCTGCCTGTCCCGAAGCTGTTACTGCTTTTAGTCCTAAAAGTAGAATTTACTGCAATTTTAATTAGACAAGGAGATGCTTTTTAATACAGACTTTTGAAGTGTCGCTAGGAAGATGACTGCAGTTAAGCAGCACTGGTGTCCCTCTCGTCTTGTTCTTGAGCTCATTGCTGTAAGAAACCTTCTGCTTTAGCCTCGTTGGAGAGGAGAGACACAAACCTCTCGCGTCATGAGATTCCCAGGTCTTGCCCAGGCTGCTCTCCTGCAGCGCGAGCCGCAGGGCTGGCTTGATTTACAGGGTAAAGAGCACAGGCAGCACCTCTTGCCAGCGACGTGCTCCAGCAAACAGCTGTTTCTGCGAAAGGAGGGAAAGGGATTATTAGGAGCGATCTCATTGCAGTGACGGAGAGGCGAGAGGGGGTTCACGCGTCCCCTCCAACGTGCGACCGTGGGCTCTTGATGGGTCCCGTGCATGGTCAGGACCTCTTTAGTTTTTCTCCTTTGAGCGCTCAGATGTGCCGAGAGATTGGGGATAAGGACCAGCGCTGCGCTCTGGAGGCAGAGATAATGAGCACAGCCCTCTGATTAGATTCAGGTGCGGGTGAGCCGGCTCAGGTATGTCAGTGGTGTAATTAGTGAGGTGCCAAATTGGGGAGCTGGCAGTGTGGGGGTAACCTTGTCCCTGCCCTCAGCCGGGCTGTGCAGCGACGGGGAGGAGCCTGCAGGACCAGGGGTGCGATGGGGACTTCTCTGGGAGCAGGGTGGGGGGGTGGTTGGCTCTGTTTTAATCCAGAGTGGAAAGCCGGGAGTCTGCTGCGGGAAAAGGTATTGATGTCAGGGGTAAGAAAAAAATCGGTCCTGAAGGATCGAGAGGTTTTTGTTGCTGGGTTGGGACCTGGCTCTGTAGAAGTGGAAGTGCCTCATCTTGTCGCCTCCTGAGCCAGCACCTAAGAGTCTTGAAGCATCTCATCCTGAAAGGTGTGGGTGACTCCTGAGGACAGCCTCAGCTGGGCTTGTTCCTTCCTTCGTCTCTACTGGGAGCTGGAACTGGACATGCTTTTGCTCGGCTGGGTTCAGGAAAATGAAATGCAAACTGCCACCGCTGTTCCCTGGCCGCTGTACCCGCAGGGGAACGAGCCCTGTCCTCCCCGCTGACCCTCTCGCGAGCGATGCTCTGCGGCCAAGGTGTGGAGGAGGATCTTGTCTCTGTTCCCACCGTGGTGCCAGGGGAACCTCAACTCATGCTGTCAGCCTTTCTGGAGCAGACACGCCGTGCAGATTGCAGGGCATAGTCCATTACAGCCGGTTGCTCTTCCCAAACAGGAGGGAGTTGAATTTGGGTCTCCCACAAAGCGGGTGATTGCCGAAGCCGTGGGCCCGGTGACTAAGAGGACCCGATTTGCTTCCCATTGCTTATATTGCAAATGGAAAAACAAACACCAAAAAAAGAGGTGGTGGAAGGAGAAATATTTTGGCTCATTTTGTGCTCATGTTTTTTTTTTTTTTTTCGGTTTTGATTCCGTTGCTAAACTGCCAAATCGGCTCTTTGCAGAGAAGCGTTTGAAACTTGATGGGCAGCTGCGGAGCTGTCAGCGCTTCTGCCTGCGGCTCCTGCTGCCCGGCCAGGACGGGAACTGCAGCTGAGCCCCGGAGCTGCGCGGGAGACTACGGACCTGGGAATGCCTTTGGGTTACTGGGTGCCTGGGGGGTCGTCAGGGGAAGGTGCTGCAGTGGATATGTGTGCCGGGATGCTCTAAGCCCAGCTCCCAGGACGCTTGCCCATCAGGATGGGGTGGGATGTGAGACTCACAGAAGGCTGCAGAGGAAGACCAACAGGCACGCAACCCCCGGGTCAACAGATATTTGTCAAGCCTGGGGGTTATCTCTTCTTTCTGCTGCTCTATGTCTGTGTTGGGACCGTCCCTGCTAAAGACGGCTCTAGTGCTGCCTCGGTACCTGGAAGAAGGTTTCCCCTGTAAATGCTGGCAGAGTGCGTACTGGTGTCCGCGTTTTGGCTTGCTTGGCACCAAGTGTCCTCCCTCCACCCCGTGCCGAGCAGCAAACCTCCCCTGGGCTTGGCTGCGGACCTCCGGGAGCTTCTTCCAGCCTTTTTGCAGGGAGAGCCGTAGGAGGTTAAAGGCACCTTGTGCGATGTGTTATTTACTGCTGTTGCCTTCCTCGCCCAGAAATCCCAAGGCGCTTTGTAGCCCCTTGTTTTTTATTAAGGAAGACAACTGTTACTGTTTGTATATGGGGGAAATAGCAGACAGAGGCCAAAAAACAATGCTCAAGCTCATCCTGCAGATCAGCAGCAGTATGTAGGGGTAAGAGTCAAAAGTCCTGATTTCCAGGAGTGCTAATAATACCGCCCTTTAGCACCGTGGAGAAAACTGATCCTCAGCTGCGTGTTTTGTCCCTGCAGAGATGTCGGGGACCGTGGCTGACATTTCGCTGGTGCACTGGAAGCAGCAGTGGCTGGAGAACGGCACCCTGTACTTCCACGTCTCCATGAGCAGCGCCGAGCAGCTCTCCCGGGCCACCCCCCCCAGCCTCCAGGAGCCTTCGGAGATAGTGGAGGAGCAGATGCACATTCTTCATATCTCCGTCATGGTGAGTCAAAGCCGTCAACGGCATCCATCGGAAGGGACGGAGGACAGCGTGGGAGGGGACGGTGGCTGGCAGCCGGATCGTGGTGGGAGGGTGGTGACAAGGAGCAGGGTGGCGAGTCTGGGTTGCAAATGTCCATGTCTCTCCTCCGTCGGGCCTCCAGTGGGGGAGAGGTGGG